GGGTTCGAGACCCGCCTGGGCAGCGAGACCTCATCTCTTCAATAAATCAAAAAATCAGCCAGGCGTGATAGCGCGCGCCTGTAATTCCGGCTACTCGGAAGGCTGAGGCGGAAGGATTGCCGGAGCCCAGCGGGTGGAGGCTGCGGTGGCCGGGAGCAGGCACTGCACTCCAGTCTGGGCAACAGAGTGAGACTCCAACTCAAAAAAAAACAAAACAAAAAAATAATTTCTTAACCAACTCATCTTCAACAAAGTCTCCAACAACAACCACTAGGGAGAGGAGAATCTATTCAGTAAATGGTGCTGGGGAAACTGGCTGACCACATGCAGAAGATTGAAACAGAACTCCTTTCTATCCTCATACACAAAAGTCAACTCTAAATGGATCAGAGATCTAGACGTAAAACTTCAAACTATTAGAACTTTAGAAAATGCAGGAGATACCCTTATGGAAATTGGAACTGGCAATCAATTCCTGATCAAAATCCTAAGTGCCCATGCCATAAGAGATAAGATAGATAAGTGGTACCTAATCAAACTGACAAGCTTCTGCAAAGCCAAAGAAACCATCAAGGGAGCAGGGAGACAGCCCACAGACTGGGAAAAAAAATTTGCTAACGATATGTTTGACAAAGGCCTAACATCTAGGATCTACAAGAAACTCAAACGTGCTGAAAAGAAAATACAAACAGCCCCATTAGAAAGTGGGCAAAAGATATGAAAAGATGGTTCTCAAAAGAAGAAATATGAGCAGCCAACAGATACATGAAAAAAAGGTTCAGCCTCACTAGTCATCAAAGAAATGCAAATTAAAACTACACTGAGATACCAACGAACTCCAGTCAGAATAGCCATCATCAATAACAAAAAACAACAGATGCTAGAGAGGATGTGGCAAAAAGGGAACATTTTTACTTTCTTGGTAGGAGTGTAAACTAGTACAGGCTCTGTGGAAAACAGTGTGGCGATTCCTAAAAGTTCTAAATATCGACCTTCCGTATAACTCCGCAATCCCCCTACGGGGAATATACCTGGAAGAACTCAAATCAATCTATAAAAAAGATACCTGCATATGTATGTTTATTGCAGCATTGTTCACAATAGCAAGAACATGGAACCAACCGTGCTGCCATCAAAAGAGGACTGCATTAAAAAATGTGGTATATATAACATATACACAATGGAATATTATGCAGCCATAAAGAAGAACAAAATCATGAATTTCACAGCAACCTGGATGAACTTAGAGTCTATAATACTGATTGATCTTTCACAGAAACAAAGACCTAAGTATCACATGTTCTCACTCATAAGTGGACCTTGAAGAACTCTCGTAATACTATAAGAAAAGGATTGACAGTAGCAGGAAACTGCAGGGGGATGGGGGGGTGGGGTGGGGAGATGGAATTGGCAGTAGTTGGAATCTGCCTGGGGAAAGGGGGGGCACCCCTCATCAACATGGGTACCTGCATAATGAATATTTATATACCTAACCCTGAACTGTACCCCACAATTTTAAAATAAAAAATTTAAAAGTTAAAAAATAAAAAGTATAGCTGGGCTCAGTGGCTCAGCCTGTAACCCCGCGCTTTGGGAGGCTGAGGTGAGTGGACTGCCTGAGCTCGCGGGTTCGAGACCCGCCTGGGC